CCCATGTCCAGCAATCACTGTGCGAGGGGCGGGGTGCATCCTGGACAGGTCGCAAGTCCATCACAGGGACACATAGAGACAAACAAGACAAACAACCATTCACTCACTCACTCACTCACTCACACCTAGGGACAATTTAGAGTTACCAATCAGCCTAAAATGCATGTTTTTGGTCTGTGGGAGGAAACCGGTGTACCTGGAGAAAACTCACACATGCACGGAGAGAACATGCAAACTCCACCCAGAAAGGCCCCCGGACCGGGGTTTGAACCAGGGACCTGCTCACTGAGAGGCAGCAGCTCTACCATTTGCACCACCGTGCTGCCCTTTCATTGAGAATCATTAGTCTAAATTTGTTTCACTATTTTTAGATAGAGATTTTTTTCTAGACTGATGAACCTCTGCCCATTTTTACTTCTGAGAGGTTCAGCCTCTCTAAAGAGCTTTTTAAATTCCCAGTCCTCTTACTGATCTTTTGCCAATAGACCAAATTAGTTGCAAAATGCTCCCTTACCTCTTTATTATTCACATCACTTACACTTGCAGCCTTTCGTTGCCCCTGTTCCATTTTTTTGTGATGTGATGCTGCCATAAAATTTAAAACAACTTTTTAAAACTTGAACGATTTCTTACTTAAACATTTTTTATATGCACTTTGTTCCATTATAAATAATCTGTGGGTTAACGAGGTTTACCAATCATTCATATCTGTTTATTTTTTACATTTTACACAATGCCCCACCTTCTTGGATTTGACGTCACCTGTCAAGCACAAAAAACTGAATCCGCTTGATCGAAATAGTTATTTTAATGAACTACTTTGCATCTGGGTAACTCACACCACCCCCACACAAATGTCTATTTTTATCTTTATTTATTTATCACAGAAGCTGCAAACAAGTTGTGAAATGTTTCTAGTCAGTTTGGAATGTTAATGATTTTAAACCAGGGACTTGAGTTCCTTCCTCAAAGAACTGCTGAATCCGAGGAAATCCACTGAACTTTTGTGAGACAACATATTACCTACTTTCTTGAGGAATCACAATAAACGTCTGTTTTCGATCAGGAAGAGATATATTGATTAGTATTTTTTTAAATCACACCCTCAGGTGGCATCAGTTGGTTTCCATAAGTAAAATGAACTTCTTGTTTTGCAAAGCATTCTTTTAGAAACTAAAGTGATGCATGACGTGTTCTGATTACTGAATCCATCAGTTTCATTGAGTATGATATTAATTCATATACAGTAATTGGCATTTGTGAGCATTAGCTTAGCACTGCAGTGCAAGTTTTTGATTCTGCACTAATGGAGCTAAGGGCTTGGAGGTCACGGATGTCTCCTGATATTTTTTGATTTGGTGATGGACATTATGTGTTGCAAAAAACACCCAAAATCAAATATACTCATAAATTTCTTCATTCCTTAAAAACTAGGTCTTTGCACAGTTCAATCCAATTTTTTTATCTCTCTTTGTTTGACATCTGCTCTAAGCCACAAATAGTCCAGTACTTGCAGTTACCCCCAAATGATGATTGTTCAAATATTATAACCCGTTGTAAAACCCCAGATTTGTTGAGTTTTTTAATTTATTTATTCAACCTTAATTTATACAGGCTGAACTATGGGGACTTATTTGTTGCATGTGCAAGATAAAATTTTCATTATTTAATTTCTGTCATTCCGAAACAAACTCCCTTCCTCAGATGCTGAAGTACTTTCAGAAGTATTCCTCGTTATGGCAATACATGACAGTTCAACATTATATTGCTTTATTAAAGGCTGACAGGCTCCAGTTAGACCAACAAAGTGTTACTTTTTAGGGTTAATGACAATTTATCACACAAATCACATCAACGATTTTCATGTGGTTTAAGTTATACTGTAAACAGATTTTTTTTTTTTTTAAAAATAAAATAAAGAAACCGTCCAGATGACTTGACTGAACTATGCGGGATTTTCTACCTGGATTATTATGAACTTTAAAGTTAAACTTCCACACCAACAGCATCCTTAGTGTTGCTGTATAATTTCCAAGTAAGACATTGAAAGCTTTTTACTCATGCTGTCTTAAATTACTTGATGTCTTTTTATCCTTTTATCCACCATATAATTTATGGAGAAATCACAACTATCAGGTCAGTAAGGGTATTTCTAATATTTACCACGTTTGTAAACAGTGGGATGGATTTACATATTTATTTTTGAATTATTGACAGAGAAAAAAATTCAAATGTTTAAAATAGTTGTTTAGGCTATGCACCATTTTATTTTAGGGCACAAATCTGAGGCTCTGGTAAGTTTAGCTCAAAACAGAATACTTTTCAGGTACATCCATCCATCCATCCATTTTCTTTACCCGTTTATTCCATTTTGGGTCACGGGGGTCGCTGGTGCCCATGTCCAGCAATCGCTGTGCGAGGGGCGGGGTACACCCTGGACGGGTCGCAAGTCCACATAGAGACAAACGAGACAAACAACCATTCACTCTCTCACTCACACCTAGGGGCAATTTCGAGTTACCAATCAGCCTAACATGCATGTTTTTGGTCTGTGGGAGGAAACCGGAGTACCCAGAGAAAACCCACGCATGCACGGAGAGAACATGCAAACTCCACCCAGAAAGGCCCCTGGACCGGGGTTTGAACCAGGGACCTGCTCGCTGAGAGGCAGCAGCTCTACCAGTTGCGCCACCGTGCTGCCCCCTTTTCAGGTACATTTGATGCTAAATGAGTCAAAACCCATTTATTAATAAACATTTACACTGCAAAAAAGGAAATTATTGCATCCTTCTAATAATTGCTGTAATACAATAAACATTTATGACTATTTGTGACGTTATAAATCCACATAGGGTTAAAAAAAAAAAAAAAGAGCCCTGTAAAGATGGGTGGTTAAAAAATGTGAACATTTGCATAATTTTTAAAGTTAAACAAAACCACGTGCACAATAGGAAAATCTAATCAAAGTAAAACAATTAGTTAAACCAAACAATATAAAACAATGAGCAAAAATGGTAAAACCTCAAGTTCTATATATGTTAGACTTAATTAAAACAGAGAAATTAAACCAGAAGATTTTTTTATTGATGACCTGAAGAAAATTAGTTTATCACAGAAGCCAACAAGTAAAACAATCCAATAAATGGTAAACGGACTGTACTTATAAAGTGCCTTTCTATGTTATCAAGATACTCAAAGTGCTTTACAGCACAACGTGTCCTCATTTACCCATTTGTACAGCACTCTACTAGATCTTTACAAAGACTAATCTGTGCTTTATCACATACATACACTGATGGGACACACATCGGAGGCAATGAGGGGTTCAGTGTCTTGCCCAGGGACACTTTGGCACGTGACTGCTGGTGGAATCAAACCCCCAACTCTTGCATCGGAGGAGGACAGCTCTAGCCACTCAGCCACAGCCGCCCCAAATAAACACGCATAAAAAAAAATCATCAACAAACAGTAACTGCTGTGCAAATTAATAGAGGTGTGCACTATTGGCAGGGTACACATAATTTTACAGTAGTACTGTACAATACTGACAGAGTATACTGTACAGATGACTATTTTTACAGTGGTTGCATTCAGGTACAGTATAAGTTTAATGGTGTTCACCTGTTAAAAACAAGCTGTGTGAAAAGATTTCCTGTACGTATGTCTGTTGGAAAAGTATAACCAGATAAATAATGTCCATGTTGCTCAAATACCGATATTTATTTAAAAAATAATGAAAAAAAATTAACCCTGAGCAACATGTTGGAGAGAATAGCTGAGGAAGGACACGTGTTTCACTTTTGAGGAAAGAAATGATGACAAAGACTTAGATTTATTTCTGAACAGGTTCTTTTATAATTTCCATGTTCTAGATTAGTTTCTAACCGAGATTAGTTGTTTGCTGTAGTGACCTTAAAACTGCAGAACAGCCACATTTATCTTCTCTCTTACTTTGTAAAAAGCTGCATTTGCTTCCTCTGATGTTGCAATTTATGCTTCGGGGTGCTTAAGTAATCTATTATTTACGCAAATTAGTATTGCTACTTGGCATGGTGGTGCAGTTGGTAGAGCTGCCGCCTCTCAATGAGCAGGTCGCCACGGTTCAAATCCCGACCTTTCTGGGTGGAGTTTCCATGTTCTCTCCGTGCATACGTGGGTTTTACCCCGGTACTCGGTTTTCCTCCCACAGATCAAAAACATGCATGCTAGGCTGATTGATAACTTTACATTGTCAGGTGAGTGAGAGAGTGAATGGTTGTTTGTCTTTATGTGTCCCCATGATGGACTGGAGACCTGTCCAGGGTATCCCCCACCTCTCGCACAGTGACTGCTGGATATGGCAGTGACCCCCATGACCCAAAATGGAAGAAGTGGTTAAAAGACAATACTTGGTTTTTAATAGTTATATATCTTTCATTTTAAAATTGAGGTTTTTTTAGGTGTTATTTTGGGACAAAACTTTGCTCAGCTTTGCTTAAAAAAAAAGTGTACCTAATAAATAAAGATGATTTTATTATTTTAAAATAAAAAAATAAAATAAAATAAAAATCCAAGTATTGGACACTAATGGTCAGGTGCAAGAACAGGTGTAATGATTGGCAAACAAGGGCCAGGTGAGGGAGGCAAAAGACAAACTGAAACAGACTGAGGAAATACAAACACAATATAAGCATTAAACAAGTGGTTAGGGGGTAAAAATAAGCAACACATCCAATACAGTAAAGTTATCCATAAACGCCAACAACTGGGACAATACAGAAAGTGAAATTTACTGGATTTGAACTCAATTGGGACTTATTTATGTGTAGGCCTAATCTTATTTAAGAAAAGTCAGTTTATTATTGTAATCATAGTTATTGTTAGGACGTTCTTCATTATATGTCTGGAAGAAAATTATAAATTAAATTTTGTGGGGATTCAAAAAACAAAGTTCAGCTATTTAGACTGAGGTCAAACAAAAGGAGAACAACAATCGGAGTGCATATCCCAGCAGGAGGTGGGTGGGATGGATTTCAAACTTGAGCACAACGTGATGAATCACCAGTCTGAGCTCCTTCACTCCTCCACCATGCGCACGGAGCCCAGCTCTCCCTCCGCAACCAAAGTCACAGATTATGAAGACGCCACCGCCTTCCTGGGACAGTGGGGCCGCTTCCAGCAGACCGTCTTCTTCCTCCTCTGCATCTGTGTCCTCCCCAATGGATTCCTGTCCCTGTCCTTCGTGTTCCTGGCGGACACGCCGGCTCACCGCTGCCTCCTGCCCGCTCACCTGAACCTCTCCGCGGCGTGGAGGAACAGCAGCGCCCCGCTGGAGGAGGATGGGAGCGGCGCGGCGCTGGTGCCCAGCAGGTGCGCCAGGTACCAACTGGGCTCTGTGCTGGATTACTCGGAGAGAGGCTTGCTGCCCGGAGCGGATGTTAATCTGTCCACCGTGCCGACAGAAGGCTGTCTGGATGGATGGGAGTATGACCACAGCGAGTACTCCTCCACCATCGTGTCTGAGGTGTGTCCACCTTTCCTGCAGAACTGCAGAGGATTGGAATGGTTCTGGGTGAAAAGTAGAAATCCTTTTGATCTCTTTATCATGCTATAGGTTAAATATGAGGATAATTTTCTAAATATCAATAATTTAAAATGAAAAGACAAAGACTTAAATTTAAGGCTCTTAATTGGCCAATAGAATTACAAATATTGGTCCAATAAAGGGTTTTTCTGTTGGAACACAATCAAAATGGGCCTGTTTTCATTTAATTAGCCATATGTTATTTAAAAGCTATGGCATTCAAATCAAAAGTTTAATAAATTATTCTAATCAAATCTCTCCCTCTCCTCCCAGTGGAACCTGGTGTGTGATGACAGCTGGAAGAAGCCCCTCACCTCTTCCTTCTTCTTCTGTGGTGTTCTCGCTGGCTCCTTCATTTCAGGACAGTTTTCTGACAGGTCATATATTTTATTAACAAATAAAAAAGATAAATATATGTAATTAAAAAAAATAAACAAAAGATTTGTAGTTAAAAAACAAACAAACAAACAAACAAAAAAACCATACCAACGGTTGCTTACTAAACTGCACCGTTTCATCTAAGAAAACAGAAGTAATTGAAATGTTGATTACCCACACCTGTCTCCACCCTCATTTGCCCCACTCTGGGCCCTTGAGCAAGGCCCTTAACCCCCACCATCTGCTCCTCTGGGTGCCCTAGATATCAGCTCTCTGCTCTACACAGAGGGCTGTGGTAGCTCGGTGGTCTGTGGTTGCGTCAAGAAGGACATCCATTGTGAAAATGATTGACAAGTCTTTGTGCGACTTAATTCGCTGTGGCGACCCCTGAAGAAGGGAGCAATTGAAAGAAGAAGAATATATATATATATAATACCTTTTTAGAAAATTTGGGACAAACATGACTTGTAAGGCACCATTTCTCCTTAAGGATGTTGTGCAGAAACCTAAAATAGTGTTGTTGTTTTTTCAAATCCCAATATTGAGCAACCTCTAGTGACTTATGCTTTTGTTTTATATTAAAAAAAATCACAAACCATCTGTTACTAATTCCTCGACACATCCCTCTCAACCTAGAGGGGGGGAAATAATAGTTTTTATTTTCATTATTTTCTTAACTTAGTTTTATTGTACATAAGATGGAAGTGATCTGAATGGTGCACGTGTATATAATTTTATTGTGTGGATAAAAAGTCAGTGAGAAAAGTTGAACTTGGGTCTTGTTCTTTTATCAACTTTAATGCAGCCCAAACTGCAACATCTACCATCACAAATTTTATATCAAAATAACCAGCTCAGTACCATGATGTGTAGTGTTACATTTATTGGCATTTTGAGTTACCATGGCAATGTAACTTGCAAACGAAGACGATCATTTTTCTCATTGAAAAACACTGACTGAACTCAACGGCTTCTAACTGCCACAGTGAGGTCACATGACCTCGAGTGAAGCGGTCTCCGAATACAGAGTGTATTCTCTGTATGTCCTCAAACAAACTCTTCCTACCACCACGTCTTTTAAGGTACACATACATATTATGTATCAAAACATAGGCGTTTTTGTCATCTAAGATTTGAAGTGGATGCCAAGTGGCAGTCCCCGTCAAAGTTTCTACAGGAACTTTCTAGTTCTTATTGCAACACCATAAAGAAAAACAGACAATGTGACAATATCTCTCATCTTTAAACAAAATGCTTAATTCATTATTCTTTTGTGCTTTGTTTGTTTCAGATATGGGAGAAAAATAGTGCTGTTTATCTCAATAGCATTACAACACATCACTTCGTTCATCTTGATTTTCTCTCCAAACTGGACTGCTTTCTGTATTTTGTATTTCCTTCTTGGATTGGAACAAATTGCCACTTACGTGGTTGCATTTGTGTTAGGTACTATAATTTATATACTGCTATACTACACTATCATATTCATTATGAAACCCCAGAAGTATCCATTAACCTTTCTATTGTCTATCTAATGTTCTTTTAAGGAACTGAGATATTAGGTCTACGTGCCAGAACAACTTTCTCCACCGCTGGGGTGAGTCTGTCCTTTGCAGTGGGCTACATGCTTCTGCCGCTGTTTGCGTTCAGCATCAGAGGCTGGAGGATGTTCCTCTTTGGCCTTACAGTGCCAGGCTGCTTCCGCATGGCTTTCTGGTGGTAGGTAGGTGTGTTTGTGTGTCCATATACACCTTTATTATTTTACTGTTTAAGTTACTTCCATTTCATTGTGAAAGGTGGTTTTATTCATCTATATTTAGTAATTTTGCAAACTCTACCTAGTGTCTTTTGGCAGTTGTAATGAAAGAAAAGTTTGATCACGTTCCTCTAAATTTTCTAACGATGCCTTTTTCCCTCTCACCAAACTGGTTCCAGCGCTAGTGGTAGGTTAGGTTTATTCGTCATATGCAAAATCAACACAAGGTCAACAGTGCAATGAAATGCTTAAGACGAGAAGAAATCTCAACCCCCCCCCCCCCCCCCCAAAAAAAAAACCCAACAACAACAAGAAATACCGAAGCATGCAGCAAAAATACTAAACATAATGAAAAATAATACTAAAAAACAAGGCACCAAAGTTGAAAAAGAATGCAATGAAATAAATAAATATATATATA